ATTTAAAATTTAAAATTGAACTAAATAACCCAGATATTTTGTCAAAGAATGTATGTATATTGTATACACTATACATTAAAAATTAAAATCGGACGTTTCGAAGTAGGTAGGTATATTGTGTAGTTTACCACCGCTTCCTGCAGGTCTAAGAAGTACCTATGAAGAAAATGTGTCCTGCAGTTCCATTAAGAACCATAGAAGACAATGTTGTTGAACACATTATTATTTATTTTGTACAATATGTATTTTAAATAACAGTGCATTTTAAAAATTAGGTACTAATTTAAAATTACGACTTATTAGAATTAAAATATTTTTGTAAACTAGCTATTACAAAAATATCAGAAAACGAAATTACCTATGTATGTAATAATAATAACAATTAATAATACCTAACAAGACATTTAGTTGAGTAAATTATATAATGTTATACCTACCTAATGTTAAAGATTTAAAACGTAAGCGTGAAATTGTACAATATATTATATATATTGTAATATACAAATCATAGCTAATAATAATAATACTTAATAGTAATGATTAATGGTTAGGTAAAGTAACTACTATAATATTAGGTAATATTATATTATATTAGGTAATTATTATTTTCTTGTGCACTGAATAAAATAATGTTTCTCATTGCACAGTGGCACAGTGTACACTGGCATCAGTGGCGTGGTGAAGGGGTTCAAATTCTGTGTGGGTGGGTGTGTGATTGGCAGTTGTTAAAGTGGGAAAAATGTTGAGGGGATACTTAAGTCACCAAAAATTGAGGAGCGTTCCCGAGTTCTGCCAAAGTCTATATCTAACCAAACTTTTTTAAGAAACCCACTACCCACTAGGTATATTTTGTTTTTTTCACACACCTTTGTAATTTGTTCATAAAAAGTTTGCTAATAGTATGTAAAATCAAATTAATGAACATATAATGACTGCTAAAAATGCTAAATGCTAAAAAATAAATTGAAATTCATTGCCTGAAATGTTAAAAAAGATATATGTTTACATTTTAATTTTAAACATTTCATTAAAAAACAAATAATTTAGTAGCGTCCCCCGGACTTTGGAGACTTAAGTTAAAAGGGACCCACAATATTACCGTAAATAAGAAGGGGGACTCCGTCCCCCTACGTACCCCCAATTTAACCACTGGACTGATTGGGTATTGGGGTAAAGGGTATTAATATTTAGCGTACATAATATACTATGGAAGTAATGAAGTAGTCTGGATACTAAAAAAACTCTGTTTACATGCTAATATTCCACTAATAGACAATAGTAGTTTTACTATAATTTATGGATATTAAGATATTAAAATATACTTGTACGTAAATATTATGTACTTTTATACATTATACATAATTTTGAGATTCGGAGTAATCTCACGTCAGAGCAATATTTTCGGAGTAGTTCACATCGTAACAATTTTTAACAAGTAATAATAATTTATATAGAATTTCGGTGTAATAGTATATCGGAGTAGTCGTAGTCGTGACATTATATGTTCGAAGCACGATTATAAAGAACAGGTTATGCGTCGGAAGGAATATTTTCGGTCAGATTTTGTTACGGCGGTGTAGTTCTTAAAACCGCCGAGCGCTGCAAGTCATCCGTGTTACATATTAACATTTTCCTATACAAACCATGTTAAAACTAATTTTTTAATTAATTAATTGACAAACCTTTTGTTTTAATATTAGCAGTTTATTCATAGGCAATTTATAGACCTGCATTTTGGGTGTAGCCTACTGTATTTTTTGACCTCTCTTTTTTTATTTCGGCCCTACTAACAATGTATACAAACTTTGATAATATTAAATTATTTTTCATCAACCTGATTGAATTATTATTATTAATTATAATATAATTTTTAAGAGATGTGCGATGGTGTTTTAAAAATATTTTGATAAATTTTAAATTATTTAATATTTTTGTTTATTTTTTTTTTAGTGGTTTTGCAATGTTTGAAAAATGCCTATTGCCTAGTAATTTAATAAAATGTTCTTCATAATTTTTAAATGGAAAAATATACCTAAATTCACTACAATAGGGGCCAGTTCTAAAGACTTAATTGTGGGGAGGGGGGGGCTAGATCATAATTTTCACAAATAAATAATGATTATTCGGTGACGACAAAAACTATATCTCAATAATCAGTTATTATGTGGTCACTTACATAATACATTAGGAACCAGGAGTTAGAAATTAGTGTATGTATTATGTATATCATTGTGTTTTTTAGTATTTAAAAGTATAACGTTATTCTGTGTAGTACAAAGTAAATAGGTACATTTATTTATAATAAAATAATACTATATTGACGTATGACCCCACTATGACAATAATATTAAATATTAATAATATATTATACGATTCGTCTTCACAAATCACAATAGATGATTTATATTTATGACGACAATGAACAATTCGTTTAGAGCCCGGTTAACTAGCAGCGCCTACCTAGTGGTAAATAGCCGAACTATATCACCGTAACAATTTCTGACCGCGGTTGTGCCATACAAATCTTATACCGACGGATAACCTGTTCTTTATAATCGTGGTTCGAAGTAATAAATTCGAAGTGTTATTAAATCGTTGCAGATGATTCTCGAGGTAGTTGTAGCAACCCGTAACAGATGACCAATAATTATTCACACGAAAAATAATAACAAAGATAATAAATAAACATAGTAATTTTGAATAATAATAATACAATAAATTATGGACGGAGTGGTGTTTGGATACGCAGGGAAAGATCGCCGTCGCGCAGTGCCGTGCCTGCGATAAGCTAATTGCTTGGCGCAAACAATGGGGATGTATCAGAAAAGTTACTGGCCACTTCTGAAGTTACTACTGATTTACCATCAATAAAAGTAAATTGCGAATAAATAAATAAATATACTAATTTATAAGTTTAAATCTTCTTTAAAATGTCATATAAATATAAGTATTAGTTATTACATTATGTATTTTTAGAATCAAGAAATCAATTTATAAACAAGATATGAAAACATTGAAAACAGTCATAATGGATTTGAATTTCTAGAGAATATTTCTATCATTAATAACATTGATGATTCAGTATCAACTATTTTAAATGAATATCAAGTATATAATATTTTAATGTTATATTAAGATTTGTTTAATACTTTGCTTTTTTTATAATACTTACTTATATAGTTATATGTTTGTTTGTTTATAGCTTGATACATATACTGATGAATTAGAACCATTATCAAATTCATTTAAATGGAAAAACGACCCAAAAAGTTGTTCAAAAATAGCTCCAGAGATGATAAATATAATTTTAAAATTGGGCCCATGTCAACCAAAAGCTAAAGATTTACCAAATTCTCAATTTCCCAAAGTTGGCAACAGATGCTTCATGAAGCTTGGTATTATAGAAAGTTACCAGATGGAACAATGATGCATAGAGATTGGTTAACTTATTCTCCTGATATAAACCGAGTATTTTGCTTACATTGTATGTTATTTGGAAAAAAAAGTAAGAAAGCATGGGTATATCAGATGGATTTTGTAAATTCCAAAATGGGTCTATATCCTTAATGGGTCATGAGACTACTGATGCACATGTAGAAGCTTCACTTAAAGTAAAAATGAGGGAATTGCCGTTACCATTAATACCATCAATAGTTGAAGAAAAAAAGAAGCAAGTAGCACTCAATCGTGAAATAGTAGGACAGTTGATAGAAATTACTAAATATCTGGGACACCACTCATTGGCTTTTCGAGGTCATCGGGAACAATGGTCGAATATTAATAAAGGCAATTTCAATGATTTGGTCGAGCTTATGGCAAAGTATTCTCCAGCTCTCTCAATTCATATTTAAAATCTTCAAATAAGCGGCAGAAAAGAAATTTCATTTATATCTTGGCAACGTCAAAATTTACTTATAAATGCTCTAGCACAAGAAATATTAGTTATTATTAAATTTGAGATCCAAAATTCTAAATTCTTCGGCATAAGTATAGATTCTACTTTTGATGTATCGAAAAGAGAACAAGTTTCATTTGTGATTCGGTATACAAAAGAAGAAAAAGTATTTGAAAGACTTATTTCCATCAAAGAATCAATATTCACTACTGGGCAAGCTCTTTTTGATTTGTTTATAAATGTTATGGAGTAAAATCATTTGGACTGGAAAACTTTCTTAGTTTGACAGTCTTATGATGGAGCAGCCAGTATGCAAGGTAAATATAACGGGCTACAGACAAAAATCAAAGAGGTAAATCCTCAAGTATTTATTTGGTGTCATGCCCATAGACTTGATTTAATAATAACTTCTACAGTTGGTTCATGCGCTAAAGCTGTCGATTTATTTGGAAATATGGAGAAACTATTTACTTTCATCAGTTGTAGTAAGAAGCGAATTTCTTTGTATCGTGAAAAACAAAAAAAATTATATCCAAATGCACGTATAAAGGCATTAAAAAAAGTTGAAACCACTAGATGGATGTCTCAAGCTTATGCTTTGACTACTGTGCTTGAAACACTGGATTCCATTTTAGAAACTTTAGAAGACATAAAAAGTTTTGAAGGACAGGTTGACTTTAAAACAGGTGCGGAATGTACAGGGCTACTTTGATTTTTGCAGTCTTTTAATTTTGCATTGACAGCACATATTATTAAAAGAGTATTTGATCTTATTGAACCTGTTAGTAGAGCTTTACAAGCTCATAATATTGATATACATATGGCTATTGAACTAATAAAGAAAACAGGAAAAATATTAAATGTTTGAGATCTAATGAAATGTTTTTCAATATATATGAATCAGTAAGAAAATTTTCCAAAGACAATAATTTTGAATTTGACCTTACCAACAAGAAGACATAGACGAGTTCCACGCCAACCTGGTGAATTGCCTAATGATGAACAAATAAATGATCCAGTGATGGCTTATAAAGTAAACATTTATTTTGTAATTATTAATAAAGTATCATCAGAACTTCATAAAAGGTTTAATAATGACTCGATTATGATAGCAAAGGATCTATTTTTATTAACAACTAAAGTAATTTCTAGCAATATGAAAAACAAAAATATACCTGTTGATGCATTTTCATCTATCTGTAATATTTATAACAAAATACTTAACAAAGAAGATATTGTGCGAGAATATGAACAACTTATAAAATCAAATATTAATTTGAAATCTTTAGATAAAAATGTATATTCTGTAGTTTTAAATGCATTATCAGACGAGTCAGATTCAAGTAGTTCAAATAACTCTGTTGTTCAAAATGAATCTATTGATGATTCTCAAAGTATTTTGAAAACATATCAAATATTTATTAAAAAAAAGGGTTACTAAACATTTTTCCAAAATATTTATTTAGTGTTCTTAAAATTGGTGTTACATTACCAATTTCCAGTGCATCGCCAGAAAGAACTTTTTCAAAACTTAAATTAATAAAGACAAGACTTCGTTCTACCATGATCCAAGATCGACTAGAAGATTTAATGATCATTTCCTGCGAATCTAATATAAAAACTGATACTGACAAAATTATTGACAACTTTGCCATGAGGTCTTCTGTTTTAACAAAAGCTTTGACCTAACATATATTAAGATAGTTTTAAATAATATATTATTATTTTTTAATGTTATTGTATTTTTATTTGAAATGTAACAGGATATTTTTATTATAATATTAGGTAATTATAAAACAAAATTGGTTTCTGTCTGTATCTACAAAAAATATTGACTAAGTTATTTTAAATTTAAAGTACATAAATAAAAATAATAATCCCATGGTAACAAAATTGTATTATCTTAATGTATAATATAGTATTTGGTTTTAAAATTATATAAATTAACATCAATAATAAAAAAAATCAAGGAACCCATCTCTTAGTTTGCTATATAGTAAGAGTAAAGTGTATCATAGTTTATATTATTCTGTAATTGTTTTGTATAGTATTATTGGGGGGGGGGGCAAAGCCCTCCACCAGTTTCTTTATAAAATAGGTAGGTAGGTGGTACGTACGGGTTCACTATTGACCTGCCAGACTACTCAAATTTGAGTTTGGCGACACTGAGTTTGTTGGTATTGGTGAATGGTGACCAATAGATTTAGTAATTTCTTTTTCGCTGATGGTTACAATACTTATGACTGGTTAATTTTTTGAATAAATATTACTAATAAGGTCAAGTTCTTTCTTAATTTTCCTTCTCTTAGAACGGTCACTGGACATTTTATTGAATAATTTGAATTTTTAAAAATTTAAAAGAACTGTAAATTTCTAAAAAAAAAAATAATTATATTTATTAATGCAGATATACATAGTTATATTATATATATGTATACACTATACGTATATATACTTAGATTTTTTAAAAAAAAACAGAAACGAATCAACTGAGATCTGTTGTATACCTATATATTAGCTCGAATTTATTCAGTAGGTATGCCATTTGTTTATCAAAATAAGAGAAAAAAAATCATAACTTTGTATTAAATAATTATTTATTTAAGTAGCAATTAATTTTAATCAATACAAACAGTATTATTTAAGTACAGTAACAAATGTACTAGCTATCTAGGACCTTTTATAAGCAATTATAAAATTAGCGTGATGCCGTAAATAACAACAATATACCTGCCTAATATAATAATATATTAAACAATTATAAAGAAATATATTTAAATATAAGTATTTTATAGTAACTAGTATTATAAATAATAGGTAAATAATAAATGATTGACCAACATAACCTAATGTTATTGATTGTATATGAATTACCACCTATATATTTTGTTTAGTATACTACCATACATAGTACCATTTTACTCTTACCTAGTATAATATACTAATTTATTTAGTAATATATGACATGTTATTTTCTTATATAAAATAGGTAGGTATAGCTGGTAGGTACCTACTACATATTCTCAAAATAAAACATGCACCATAGTTTGAATGCTGTAACAATGTAACATAGGTATTATGCTCAAACTAAGGAGTTTTGACACACCTAATATAAAAGAGAGTAGAGACGACTTGACATAAGCATTTTAAAAGACTACTGACTAGGTATAGGTACCATGGTAGGAGTTAGGTAAATTTAACTATTTAATTTAATTAAATATCTTGTTCAGTTAATTACTTAATTGATTTCAAGTAAATGTACCTAATATAATTAGTACCTAGTATAAGAATAAAAAGTGATAAACTATTACTTAGGTACCTATAGCATAGTGTTATATTTAAAAACTTAAAACATGTTGGCCGTATGAAACATCTACCTATAAAATGATAGGTAGGTAGGTAGATAGGTACTTAATTTAAAACTTAAATGTATATTAGGTAGGTACTTACAATAATCGGCTCCAAAGTGATAAACTGCCAACTATCAACTATAGAACTATAGTAACAATATATTTAATATTCAATAAACTAATGATGATTGTAGTATTTTACGAATACAAGTCATCCGTATAAATGTCCGTTAACTGAAAAAATTGTTTATGACTACCGGACACCGTGCAGCCGACGCCAGCACTGTTAGCGATTATTATTTATAATATCATATTATGATCAAATATTAACAATCTAAAGACCTGAAGCTTTGCATGTGATTGATAGTATGGTAGGCAAAAGTTCCTTCCTTTGCCGCAATTAGTACATTTTCTGAGCTTAAAGTGTTATCTCTAAAGAATTTAGTTACCTTCCCACTCGATGAAACAGCATTTAGAGCTAATGTGTGTTTCTTTTTTGCTAAATGATTTTTAATGCTACCGCGACCACTATTTGAAATATCAACTTCACTTTTACATATTTCACAGTAAACAATGGAAATGGAAACTGAAGTTGGCTTCAAAAACGGAAATTCTTTTTGTAAATCACTAATCGTCTCAAATTGGAGACGAGTACCGTGTTAGGCACGGCCACGGTTTTAAGATACTTGAGACGCTAGAATTTTTACAATGTTAAAATGACACTTTCTGAGAGGCGCACTCATCTCAAAATTAATATTGAAACAATTAACAAGTACAAAATCCCAACAATTATAATTAATTGTAATCATTAAAGTTATTATCATTAATCAAACTATTAAAGACTTTGGTAATATTGAGATACCCGTGGGCATGACAAATTGTCATGCTCCCAACTATGCTAAAATGTTGTCTGTATAGCTACAATAATTAATGATTACAGTAACCATTTTTATGGTTATTGCAAACAAATATTTTTTCCGTGATATAGGTACGCTTGTTTATGAATTTAAGGCAATGAACATTGTGGTTATATAAATGCAAAACTAATAATTAGATTCAACCCTTCAGAAACTGGAAAACTTTACAAAAATACATTTTTGTCACTCAGTTTTGTACATTTTTTACATATATACTACATATTATATTATTATATTTTACACAACATTATTATATTGTGCAACATAATATTATACTACGCATAACCGGGCACGACTATATTCAACAAGTGTGTCATTACTCTGCACTCTGCAGTGAATAGTTTATCATTATCATGATATATTATGTATAGGTACTATACGAAATAATATAATACTATTAACAATAATATTATTGTGTTAGGCATAATATAGCAGCTGTGGGTGTATTTACCTACAAGTATAGACGGTATAGTCGCAGTATCCGACGTAAATTTGAATGCAGGATTGCGTACTCTCTTAAAAGTTTCACTTTACCATTTCGTCTAGAAGTTTCGTAGATATGGGTAGTAGGTACCTATATAATATTATAAGTACCTATGTTATATTGATGTGTGTTAGTCGTAAGTCGTAAACTCGTAACTATTTGTAGTCGAAATCATAGACACAAATATGATACCTAGTTTATAATTGATTATCTTAATTTGTCATGCCCGTGGGTGTGTTTGCGGAGACTCTTGTCCCACATCAGCGCGACGCGTGACCTACTGACGCTCCACCGAACGGCGACGCCGGTTGTTACGTCCTGCCGCAACGAATGGATCTTCGCAAGAAAAAATTTTTTGCGTCCGTATGGCGTATATAATATTGCCTACATTTAGCCCCTTTTTTGCAGTTATCAAAATGTGATAACATTGATAAACCGATAACATCATTTTCATTATAAATTATAATATTATTATATTTTATTACCTATATTAATTATAATTAAAATAGTTAAATACATTAATAGTTAATAAGTTATTAAAAAAACACAATATCGTAATTTAAAATTTAAAAATACACAATTCATTGAGAATACAGTATAAATGTACAACCTATTTACGTGGAACATTATTTCAAATTTTCAATCTTTAGCTATAAAAGGTAAATTATATAATACAATTTTAAATTTGATAAATATTTTCAAAATTCGAACTAATACCCAGATAGCAATTATTATGTAATGATATTATTATTATTACAGTACACAAATATTGTTATAAAAATAATGTTATTATAATAACATAGCCATAGGTACCTAACTATCCAACTAACATAATATTTTTACATTATAAATTATAATTAAAATAGTTAAATACATTAATAGTTAATACATTTAATAATACACAATTCGAAAAAAAAACACAATATTCATTATTCACTTACGATCGTCATTTAAAAGATACAATTCAACAATATATTAAGAAATTCATTTTCTTTTAGCTCTATAAGAATGATCGTCATATGAATGAACATTTAAAACACTTGTATTATTTAGTAAGGATTTTCTTATTATATTACCTTCACTCGTAAATATTTCATCAAATATAATTACTGAAACGGAACAAAATAAATGGATTAAATTCTTATAGCGCTAAAAGAAAATGAATTTCTTAATATATTGTTGAATTGTATCTTTTAAATGACGATCGTAAGTGAATAATGAATATTGTGTTTCTAGGACAGTAGGATATGTTACCAAAAAACAGTACGTACTGTCCTTATAAAATAAGTACGTCTGGTCACCATATTATATATAACTATAGTAACAATATATTTAATATTCAATAGACTAATGACGATTGTAGTATTTTACGAATACAAGTCATCCGTATAATTAATGTCCGTTAACTGAAAAAATTGTTTATTTATTTTATTGTTTATTATTTTTGTAAGTATATTGTATAATGTTTGTTAGAGCGTAGCGATACATTTTTTTTTTTTGGTTATTTAGTTGTAAAAAAGGCGTATACTGAATTAGGGGCGTCATATTTATGTTTGCTTCCCCATAAATTGTCCCTTGATACAGCCCTGTGACACTAACTCGTGTAAACAATTTGAAGCACATTTAAGCGATCAACGAGTCTCTGACGTTTTTATTGATACATACCAATTCGCATCGATAAATATGAGAC